ATCTTGAGTGCTCTTCTGTATATTCTGTGGGGTCTGAAACTTGGGGCAATACACGTCTGCTGGGGCTTTGCCTGTCTTTCTCTTTGAAGGCAGAATGCTGTTTCCATCCTTCAGCCTTGGAAGGAAAAAGGAAATGTGGAGAAGGTGAAAGATGAGGGACAGGAGTGGAGGCATGATATCTCAATGCATACTTTAAAAAAAAGTGAAATTCATGTAGCATACAATTAACCATTTTAAAGTGTTTAATTCAGTGGCATTTATTACATTCACAATGTTATACAAGCATTACCACTATTTAGTTGTAAACATTTTCATTATCCCAGAAGAAAATCTCATACTCACTATGCAGTCATTCCCTATTCTCTCTTCCCCCTAGCTCCTGGCAACTCCTAATCTGCTTTCTCTCTCTATGGCTTTACCCATTCTGGATATTTCATATCACTAGAATCATACAATATGTGACCTTTTCTGTCGGCTTTTTTCACTTAGCATAATATTTTAAAATTTCACATATAATGTAGCATGTATCAGTACTTCATTCTTTTCTATGGCTGAGTAATATTACATGGTACTTAGATACCACGTTTTGCTTATCCATTCATCACTTGATGAACATTTGCATTGTATCCACCTTTCGGCTATTAAGAAGGGTACTGCTATGAACACTCACGTCTAAGTATGTGTTTCAGCACGTGCTTGCAGCTCTTTGGGGTACATAACTAGCAGTGGGATTTCTGGATTGCATGGCAATTCTGTTTAACTTTTTGAGGAATCACCAAACTGTCGTCCACAGTGGATGCACCATTTGATATTCCCATCAGTAATGTGTGAGGGTTCCAATTTCTCCATATTCTTGCCAAGACTTTTTTTAAAAATTAAAATTTTTTATTGTAACTATCCTAGTGGGTGTTAGGTGGTATCTCATTGTGGTTTTGAATTGCATTTCCCTACAGATTAATGATGTTGACCATCTTTTCATGTGCATGTTGCCCATTGGTATATCTTCTTGGAAGAAATGTCAATTTAAGTCATTTCCCCATTTTCAAAACTGGGTTTTTAAATATTTTTGTTGTTGAGTTTTATGCATTCTTTGTATATTCTAGATATTAGGCCCTTATCAGATATGTAATTTGCAAGTATTTTCTCCCATTCTATAGGTTGACTTTTCACTTTCGTTTTTAACTTTCAGCATGCCTTAATTTTTTTAATCAACAAATTTTTTAAAATGTTATATATTTAGGGTGTACAGCATACTTTTGACATATATACACATTGTGAAATGGCTAAATCCAGCTGTTTAACATATGTATTACCTTCCATACTTATCATTTTTTTGTGGAGAAAAATTTCAAAATGTACTCTCTCAGCAATTTTCAGATATATAATATATTGTTATTAATTGTGGTTAATAACAAATTAACTGTGGAACAAATCTCTTGAATTTATTCCTCCTGTTTAACTGAAATTTTTTTCTTTCACCAGTATCTTTTCACTTTCTCAATAATGTTTTGTGATACATAAAAGTTTAAATTTTTTTTTTTTTTTTTTTGGAGATGGATTCTCACTCTGTAGCCCAGGCTGGAGTGCAGTGGTGTGATCTCGGCTCACTACAACCTCCACCTCCTGGGTTCTGGTAATTCTCTCACTTCAGCCTCCTGAGTAGCTGGGATTACAGGCACTTGCCACCACACCCAGCCAGTTTTTGTATTTTTAGTAGAGACGGAGTTTCACCACGTTGGCCAGGCTGGTCTTGAACTCCTGGCTTCAAGTGATCCTCCTGCCTCGGCCTCCCAAAGTTCAATTTATCTGTGCTTTTTATTGTTGTTGCTCTTTCTTTGGATGGTGTATCTAAGAATCCATTGCCAAATCCAAGGTGATAAGATTTGCCCATGTTTTCTTATAAGAGCTTTATAGTTTGAGCTCTTACATTTAGTTTGTTAGCCCATTTGGAGTTAAGTTTTGTATATGGTGTGAGGTGGGGGTGTCCAATTTTATTCCTTTGCATGTGGATACCCAGTTGTCTCAGCACTTGATGCATATTTTTATATCATTTTGCTTTTTGTTTAAGCTATAGGAATATATTAACTATCAAAATTTAAAAATATATTTTTAAATGGGAAAGAAATAATTCTTGTAAAAAGAGGAGCAAATTGATAGTGTGGCTAAGATGATGAACTGTAGAGCAGGACTGCCTGGATTGGAAGCCTGGCTTCTCCACATACAAGCTGATTGATCTTGGGCATGTTATTTAATCTTTCTGTGCCTCAGTTTCCTCACATATGAAATTAAATAACGGTAGTACATGCTTCACAAAGTTATTATGGGAATTAAGTGAATGAACACATTTAAAGTATATAGTTGTTCGTAAGCACTATATAAGTATTTTTTAAATAATTGAATAAATAAATTTTGAAACTTCTAATACTCCAACCATTGTGTCCATTGGTTAGGCATCAACTTTTCTGGAGAAGCAGGGCCTGAGTGTAAGGAACCAGAAAAAAAAAAAAAAACAAACTAAAAGTGGTCAGCAGCGTGCTGGGATGAAAATCCCAGTCTTTTTTTTTTTTTTTTTTTTTTTGAGACGGAGTCTCACGCTGTTGCCCAGGCTGGAGTGCAGTGGCGCGATCTCGGCTCACTGCAAGCTCCGCCTCCTGGGTTCACGCCATTCTCCTGCCTCAGCCTCCCGAGTAGCTAGGACTACAGGCGCCCGCCACCGCGCCCGGCTAATTTTTTGTATTTTTAGTAGAGACGGGGTTTCACTGTGGTCTCGATCTCCTGACCTTGTGATCCGCCCGCCTCGGCCTCCCAAAGTGCTGGGATTACAGGCTTGAGCCACCGCGCCCGGCCGAAAATCCCAGTCTTCTATCCCAATTCCCTAACACAGAGATGCCATTGGTCCTTGCAAGAAGGATTTCCACCCTGAGCCTGTGCTTTAGTGGGCTCCACGTAAACACAAACACACAACAAAACATATTTATAAAGAAACACATGGCTGCCTCTGTTACTGGTGCAGTATAACCCATAACCTTAACATCCACCCAACAACTCATGTAGGGAAGTGTGTCTTCACAACTCTTGCCCCGTGTTCTTGAAACAAAAGGACACCGTGTTCAGGTGATGAGAAGGTGTGTGGGTTGTGCTACTGCTATCATTGAGTCTTATCTTACGATAAGACTCACTGCTTTGATATGTGGAGAACATTTTAAATGACAGAAGTGCCCATATAAGAGAAAAGACACATTGATTAACTTGTGAAATCCCTCCGTTTGAGCATTTTGTATAATGAAGTATCAATTTCCAGTAGTGCTAAGTATCCATTTTCTTTCTTCTTTTTGTGTGCCAATTCATGGTTTCAAAGATTTTCACAAATTAATGCACTATTCAAAACAATTGCACAAGATGCCTGGGGAACATTTTGCAATATTAAACATTTCACATCACTATTAAATGTGTGTGTGTATATATGTCTACCTATAATACATGGAAGTTTGATAATGGTTCCTTACATTGTCAAGTAGATGGACATTGAACATTAAAATTGTGAATAGCTTTAATTGTATAAAAATCTGATATTTAATTAAAATTTAAAAATTAAAAGATTTTTCAGCTTTATTTAAATATTTTATTAAAATACTGATATTCATTCACTACCATTTAGATTGTGTCTTTAAATTTAAATAATCAATTTGAATATTTTTTAAAAACTTATGGAAAAAATATATAAAAATAATTTTAGTTTTTTATCTTTTATATTTACTGCAATTATATTTTTATTAAGTATACTCAATTCGGGATAATTTCAATGCAATTATATTTTAATTTTTAATCCTTTAGATCAGTGCAATTTAATACAGTTATATGTTGCTTTACAACAGATATGTCCTAAGAAATGCATTGTTAGGCAATTTCATCATTGCGCAAACATCATGGAGTGTACTTACATAAACCTTGAGTGTAGCCTACTACACACCTGGGCAATATGGTATAGTGTATTGCTCCTAGGCTGCCAATCTGCACAGCATGTTACTGTACTGAACAATGTAGGCAATGTAACACAATGATATTTGTGTATCTAAACGTACCTAAATGCAGAAATGCTACAATAAATATACAATATAAAAGATTTTTTTAAAGTACACCTGTATAAGGCATTTACCATGAATTGAGCTTGCAGGCTTGGAAATATCTGTGGGTGAGTCAGTGCCTGAGTGGTGAGTGAGCGTGAAGGTCTAGGATGTTACTGTATTCTACTTTACACTTTATAAATACTGTCCATTAGAGGACACTAAATTTATTTTAAAATACTTTTATTTCTTCCGTAACAAATTAACCTTAACTTACTTTGTTTTACTTTATAAACTTTTAAATTTTTAAAAATTTTTGACTCTTTAGTAATGACACTTGGCTTAAAACACAAACATTGTATAGTGGTACAAAAATATTTTGTTTCTTTATATACTATTTTATAAGCTTTTTCTATTTTTGAAATTTTTAATTTTTCTTCTTCGACTTTTTTGTTAAAAACGAAGACACAAATACACACATTAGCCTAGGCCTACACAGGGTCAGAATAATCGGTATCACTGTCTTCTGCCTCCCCTCCTGTCCCACCGGAAGGTTTTCAGGGGCAATAACAAGCACGGAGCTGTCATCTCCTCTGAAAACAATACCTTCTTCTCGAATCCTTCCTGGAGGACCTGCCTGAGGATATCTTCCAGATAACTTTTTTTTTTTTTTCCTTTTTGAGACGGAGTCTCGCTCTGTCGCCCAGGCTGGAGTGCAGTGGCGCGATCTCAGCTCACCGCAAGCTCCGCCTCCTGGGTTTACGCCATTCTCCTGCCTCAGCCTCTCGAGTAGCTGGGACTACAGGCGCCCGCCACCTCGCCCGGCCTTTTTTTGCTGTTGTTTTAGTCTACTCTTTCAACTTTTTTTTTTATAAGTAGAAAGAGTAGACTAAAACAACAGCAAAAAGGATAGTAGATACATAAACCAGTACCATAGTCATTTATTATCAAGTGTTATGTACTATACATAACTGGATGTGCTATACTTTTATTATACAACTGGCAGCGCAATTTGTTTACACCAGCATAACCACATACATGTAAGTCATGCCTTGCACTATGATGTTACCATTGCTGCACTATCACTAGGTAATAGGAATTTTTCAGCTCCGTTAGAATCCGATGGGACCACCGTTGTCTCTGTGGTCTGTCATTGACTGAAACATCATTATTTGGTGCATGACTGTAGAACTTTAAGCAATGATGAAAATGCTCTATATCTACACTGTCCTATACAGTAACCACTAGCCACTTGTGACTACTGAGTATCTGAAAGGTGACTGGTACAACTGGGGAACGAAATTTTAAATTTTCTATAATTTAAATTGAAACAGCCACATTTATTTCATGGCTATCATATCATATCCTATATCATATCATATTTATATATCATATCATATATAGTATGATTATATCATATTATATATGTATATCATATTGTAAATGCAGCTTGAGACCATTACCTTCCCTAGAACACAAATTCATGAAAATTGTATCATAACGTAGTTACTGATTTTGCCAGAATAAAGGAAAAAGTAAATTTTATAAAAAAGCATATAATTTATGAATTGTTAATATCTTAATTGATTATTCATCCAAACACCACAGGTCCATCAACAGAACTCCCAGCACATGGGATAATAATTTTGTTCAGTCATCTTTGATGTTTTGCCAGCTTTCAGTCAATTAGAAACTTTGGACTTTACATGTATTTTTCTATCTAATCATTATGAACATATATTTGTCAAGGAAGGAGGATAGAAAACATGCTGTTCAACTCTTTGTGATTTAAAACTGTTAAATGTAAACATATGATACGCAGGTTCTGCTTGAATTCTTCCCCTGGCTCTTGGCGAAGGGTCGGCCTGCCTGGATCTGAGTCATCCACCTATAAGAGGGACACCACCACACATTGGTCACTGCTCTCAAGCCCCTGGAATACCACCCCACTTGGCTTCTCCTAGTAACAGTGGCTGCCTTTGCTTGCCCATCTCCAACTCCTCCCAAGAGCACTGTTGACTATGAGCGGTACCTTTGAATCTGCAGGGGCCCTTCCCATCTGCCTAAAATTTGCTATCAGTGAAACAGAGAAACCCTTGGGGCACTGTCAGGGAGCATTCTGGTCCGTAAAATGCCTACCAGCCACCATGACGTTCTCATTCTTGCCATTAGCGACCTTCTCATTCTCTACATCATCAGAGAGTCCTATGTGCGCTCATTCTAGAGGGCTGATAATTCTCACGGATCACCAGTGTGGACTCAAATTATTTGTATTATAATCTCACAGTACAAGTAAAAAAGTATATGCCTATGGTTTTTGTTCAGTTATAAAGTTCAAATAAACTTTCTAGATTAAATACAAACAAACTACAACACTGATCAAAATAAAAGCGGCAACATTAACTTAATGTGGCAATGTCTTGTGGAAAGCAAATTGCCAGTGTTGAAACAGTAGAAAGTTCTTAATATTAGTTTTTTACTGATTGTATTTCCACATTTTAAATTTAGTAACACTTATACAGAGAATGCTGTATGTAAAATTATATATATATATAAAATCATAGTCCACTGCAGCCTTGAACTCCTGAGCTCAAGTGATCCTCCTGCCTCAGCCTCCGGAGTAACTGGGACAACACGCACCACCATGCTCAGCTAATTTTTAAAACTTTTTTGTAGAGATGGGCTCTCACTATAGCCCTGGTCTGGAACTCCTGGGCTCAAGCCATCCTCCCACTTTGGCCTCCCAAAATGCTGGGATTACAGGCGTGAACCACCACATCTAGCCTAAAATTATATTGTCAAAAGACTTTGTTTCTCAGTTTGGGATAACCAGAACTCATAGTTCTGATCTCAACTACCAGTTTTAATGAGGTGCTTCTTTCTAACTCCATCAGCTGTTTCGCTATTTGCAGGTAAGGACTCTTACAACATTATCTAAATTTGGCATCTAATTACCTAATTTATCTAAATTATTTAAAATATCTAAAATGGGCACATAAAATGGGCATCTAATTCCATTAGATTTCTGGTCTTAGAAGTGGAAAATTTTTTAATTGAATATTTTCAAATATCCCTACTGCTAATAAGTTGGGAGCCATGCAATAAGCTCCTCTTCCATGAGTGTGGTCTGGTTTGCCACAGCCCAGTTTCTTATCAGTTCAGTCTCCTTGTATTTCCATGCACTTTCCTATTTGCACTGCTTCCAAATGTGATACCCACAGAGCCAGACACCATGTCATGTGGGCCTTTAGGCATGTGGCACTGTTCAAACTGGGAGGTGGCCTACAGTGTGTTTGTACACATATATTTTAGTTTATCATAAAGATGATTACACAAAATTTATAAATTCTCAGGAAACCTCAAACTGTCCTTATGTAAGTGATTCTCAAAGTGTGGTCTGTGGATCCCTTGGGGTTCCTGAGTCCTGTTACTAGGGTCTACGTGGTTTGCAGTAAAACCAAGATGTTATTTGCCTTTTGCATTCTGTTGACATTTGCACTGAGGGTGCAAAAGCAATACTGGGTGTTTTTGTTTGTTCAGGTTGCTATAACAAAATACCGTAGATTGAGTACTTTATAAACAACAAAAATTTATGGCTCACAGATCTGCTTGCAGTTAATCTGAAGTACAAGATGAAGGCTCTAGCAGAGTTGATGTCTGCTGAGGGCGCATTCCCCAAGGACAGAAACTTTGAGCTGTACCCTCCCACGGCCCCCATGGCAGAAGGAGCAAAGCAGCTCTCTTCAACCTTTTTTATAAGGGTGTGAATTCTAATCATGAAGTGGGCAGTTCTTATGGCTTACTGATTTCCTGAAGTCCTCAACTCTTAATACTATCACATGGGGTATTAGGTTTCAACATATGAATTTTGGGGGGACACCAATGTTCAGACCATAGCAATGGGTGAAACTGCTGGAATCTGAACATGACTCCAAACTGTTACAGAAGGCATTATGTTATTCATCATCATGCATTTTCTGCAAAGAAGAAAAAAAAAAGCCATCTCAGCACTTTGGGAGGCTGAGGCAGAAGGATCACGAGGTCAGGAGTTCAAGACCAGCCTGACCAACACGGTGAAACCCTGCCTCTATTAAAAATACAAAAATTAGCTGGGCGTAGTGGCACCCACCTGTAATCCCAGCTACTAGGGAGGCTGAGGCAGGAGAATCGCTTGAACCTGGGAGGTGGAGGTTACAGTGAGCTGAGATCACCCCACTGTACTCCAGCCTGGGTGACAGGTCAAGACTCCGTCTCAAAAAAAAAAAAAAAAAAAAGGAAAAGTAAAAAGCCAATTTCATTTAATGTCCATGATGAAGCAGTAAAAATATACAACTTTATAATATTCTAAGCGACAAAATGGGAATTACATGCAAACCACTTCTGCTGCATACTAAAGTTCAGATACTGTCTTGAGGACAATCACTTGTGAAATTGAGTTACGGAGCTAAAGCAGCTGCTTTTTTTCATTGAATACCATATTTACTCTTAAGAACGACTAACACACACGATGGTTGCCCAGACTTAGGTGTTTGGCACACAGCTTTCCCAGAGATGCGTTAAGTGAGCCCAATAGTTTAGGGAAAACAACTCGCAATATTTTTAGCAAATGATAAAATGCAAGTTTTCAAGTAAAAATTAGAAAACTTATACCCATAAGTTTAATAGTTTCTAAATATTTAAAAACGTTTCTGATAAGATGGTAGGGATATTAATGAATTTATCTTTTTATACACTATAAGGAAATGTGTCACTATTTGGAAGATTTGTGTAACTCAGTAAACCAATATTTTCCTATTGACCAACGCATATTGTTACAAAATCATGCATAGTAAAAGATCTATTCAAAGTGCAGGATAGATAAATGGATTGTAATGTAACGGAGTATGAAAAGTTTATTGGCATGGTTTCGGACTCTACTGTAATTAACTTTTAAGAAACTATCACTTGTCAAATTTTGAAGAAGTGTTAAGAAATATCCACAATTATCTGAAAAGGCTTTTAAAACACTCATATTTTTACCCTATTACATATCTATGTGAGGCCAGATATTCCTCGTATATTTCAACTAAACAACATATTTCACAGATTGAATGCAGAAGCAAATATGAGAATCCAGGTGTCTTTGATTCAAGCCACACATTAACGAGATTTGTAAGAATATAAAACACTGTCATTCTTACCAAGTTTTTGATTTAGTAAAAATGCAGGGATTTTTGGGTAAAATATGTTATTTATTGTAACATATAATGGGCTTTTATTATTATTAAATTATTCATCCATTATTTGATAACCTCAGCAGATATCAAATAATAATATATATTTAATAAATCAATTAATAAATTAAATAAATTACTAAATATTAATTAATTTAATTAATAAATATGTTAATTTCCCTTAGCTTTAATTGCTAATATAAGAATATCAATAGATACAACTTAAATGGAAGCTGAATTCCTAGACACACCAAGAGTCTACAGTCAATGTCATGGCCCTAATTGGCATAAACAAAGATTGTGCAAACTAGAGTGATATCTGGGAAGGCCTGGATGAGCCTATGTTTAGAAGATCCCCAACACAGCTGGAGTTACTTCAGATAACTCCTCGCCATAATATTATTATCATTTGATAGCTGCAGAAGATATCAGATTAATTTATTAAATACATGATATTATTATTTGATATCTGCTGAGGGCCCTTTTCCCAAGGACAATTATCATTTACTAAATGAATTAATAAATATTTTAATTTTTTCTAGATACCACCCACATAAACAAAAACTTTCTGGGAGTCCTCCAGAATTTTTAAGAGTTATCTAAACTATTGCCTTTAACAACTGGGAACTCCGATTTGAGAAGTGTTACCCTACGTTAAGCCAACAGCAGCCTGGCTCCTTCGTGCTGTGCAGTGTGGGACAGAGCTGGGTCCTTGTTGTCATCAGCCAGACAAACACATATTAAAGCCCACCTTAGCCATTGGCGTTAGAACTTTAAAATCAGCTCCATCCTACCATGCTGTCAGTCAATCAGGTGATCTTAATGACCAGATCTACATATCCTCCCTCCATGCCCCCACCCCCACCACCCACCAACAAATCCGGTCGTCTATCTCTGTCAACAGTCCTGCAATGAATTCTGAATGTAGTTTTTCTCTTCCCTGGCCCGGCGTTTACATAGTACCCTGGATGAATCTATACTTACATCCAGTGGAAATGAGAGGGATGGTGCGGAGTTATCCGAAGTAACTCCAGCTATGTTGTGGATCTTCTAATCATGGGCTCATCTAAGCCTTCCCAGGTATCACTCCAGTTTTTACAATCTTTGTTTATGACAATTAGGGCTATAACATTGGCTGTAGACATTTGTTGTGTCTAGGAACTCAGCTTCCACTTAAGTTCTGAAGTTAATCAGTTTGTGATCTTGTTCTACAACTCTCCGCAAGAAGAAAAATCACCGGGAAATAGTACATTCCGAAAGTTGTCAAAGTTTCCTTATCCAGCTGGAGCAGTGCAGTCTCAGACCAGAGTCAATTCCTTGCCCAACAGAAGTTACTTTGAGCCATGAGAAGCAGCCTACTTACCCTTACCTGGACACTTCTCCATAACCTGTGAAATGGCCTCTGTCACTGGCTCAAAGCCTTATTCTTGGTGGGCAACTCACCTGGATCCTGAGACCAAAATATGAGAACTTAATGAACTGCTCCTCTGCGGTAAACCTACTATCCTTTCACAGTAAGATGTGGATATTCTCACCTTGCTCTACCCAGTGACATGTTAATCTAGTTCTTACTTCCCCTGAGAGCCTCTTGCAACTTCACTGTTAATAGGAATCACTCTTTTATGCTTGCAAAGAACCCCTTTGGTGTAAGGAATTTATACAAAGATTTACAGGATTGGTAGGGTAACAAGAAAAGCCATCTCCCTAGCTGCCTGCTTAATCTGGATCCAACTGCTGCTAAGACAAAAAAATACAACAAATTTAATAGGAAACCAGAACAAAACCCTAAGAACGAACGCTCAGGGTTGTTTAGGTTACAACCTTAGCTTGAGAGATCTGTCCCTGGCATTTATACTTCCTAAAATAGAGAATTTGACTGAGTCAGGTGGCCACCATCCAAATGAAGTGCTTCAACTGGGAAAAGATTCATGCCAACCTGCTAGGGCGTGGTGTTTAGCCTTTCTTATATTTAGTCAATTCATGGGCTCATCATTTTGGGTGAGGTCATCAGGATGGTGCCACTCAGTTCACTTGGCAAGAGTCACAGCAGCTGATGTAGGAAGAAGCCTGTTGGAGTTTATTTTCCTAAAGGGCACCTGGGGGCCAAGGATGCATGGAGCCTTCATGAATTATTGAATGAACCCCCTCAACTGGTTCAGTACAATTATTCTCAGGGGACATCTTTATACACTCTTACGGTTAAAGTCTTGGTGGGGCTAGCTTTTCAAAATAATGACTCCAATTTTGAGGCAGTTCAGATAATTTAGTGAATTGATTTTTCAATATCTCTGTCTGTTACTGATTAATTTGTTGAGAGCGAATGTAGGCATCAGCTCTAATTTCCTTGAAGAGCTTTTATAAGTGACTTACACGTATAAAGGGCATCCTCCAAAACCATTTTAATTTTTAAAGATGCCAAACAATTTGCTAATTAAGTGTCTGTAAATGTGGACTAGTATTTCCCAAACTGTGCCCTCTAGGAAATGCTTCTAGGAGATGTTAATAGATACACAACAAAAATAAGTGAATGAAAGAAAAATTTTCAATCCATTGTCAGAAAACTTTGGGAAGAATTTGTTTACTAGAGGGGATTCTTCTTGGAGATTTACTCTCCAATCAGTATATTTAAAGACCTGAGAAGTTCCATTGTAAAGAAATTTACTTTTAATTAACCAAGCGTTTCCCAAATTTACCTTAACACAGACATTTTAAAATTTTTCCTTATGCTTCCCCAGATCCTAATTTTAGGACATATTGATCTATGTAAATTTTAAGTCAAATATGTAATTTTGAAGCATGTGTGGAACTTAAATGGAATAGGTTAGGGAATAGGACTTACTTTAAATCAAGTCCTCAGGAAAATAATTCGAGATAAAAAATTTGTGTGGGGAAGTTTACTGGGTGGTGTTCTCAGGTTCAATTCCCGCAAGGAAGTAAAGACATAGCACTGGGCTGAGGGAGAGTTTGAACTGTGTTCTAGCCACAACAAAGGTCTCATTCTGTCACAGGGTATCACTGAAGCTGGAATGGTCTTTTCGAGTTGTCCTGCCTTGAGGCAATGGGGCTGGGCATTCATAATCCTCCTTACCAGGTTGCTTCCAGGAAGAGGTCATGATCCTGGGCTGGATCAAGAACTGCTATCTTGAGTTGAGGGTAATTCTTGAAGAAGGATTCAGCCAGAGTCCCCATTTCTTAGAGAGGCCATCAACAATTCGGATATTTAGTGCCTCATCCCTGGAGAAGGCCCTGGAGGAGCACCATGGCAGCTCTACTTGGTGCCACTTGGATCCATTTGCTTCGTAGATTAAGTTCTGAGAACATTTCCTCCAGAATCTCGGTTGGTCATTTCTCTTGGAGAAACTTATAAGAAAAAGGAAGGGGAGGAACTACAGCCTCACCACTGCAGCTCATATAGAGGTTGCAACTGACATTCATCAGCTCCTCCTCAAGTACTATTCCAGATCCCCTTGTCCACGGGTGGTAACTTTGTTGGTCCAGGTGGCTGACCTGATGTGGTGACCAGACTTTGATCTCTGAGGGGCCTGAGCTTCATAGCCATGACTACTGCACTTCCATTCATTACCAAAATTGCTCCCATTGGGTAACAGCAGCTCTATCTCCTCCTTATGATAGAGCCAGGATGCTGGCTCCTCTCCTTGCTTACTGTTGGCACACGGAGTCAAACGTGACCCACTGATAGCCATAGCTAACATTTAATGGGAGCCTTCCTGGGTCTCCTGGTGGAAGCATTTTTTTTTTGTCTGAAAACCAGAACCTCTAAACCCATAAAGTTGAGAGTTATAGAAGTAGGAAATACAAATTTCACAAGTGGGTTGGTGGTACTGATGGAAGCGGGGCAACTCCTAATCGCCTCCCTTGGTTTCTGGATTTACCTATTGAGAACACAGAACCATGTAAAGGCAGTTGATTTAGAGCAGCAGCTTTCAAATTTTTGGTCTCAGAACCCCCTTACACTGCTAAAATTATTTTAAACAGAAGCCCAAAGCTCATTGTGGGTGATAACTACCAATACTTACTGAATTTGAAATTAAAACTGAGGAAACTTTGAAACACTTCAATTCATTTGAAGATAGTGTGGAACACACTGCATGTTAACAGAAATAGCATCTTCATATAATTATTATGAAGTTAGTTTTGACCTCATGGAACCCTGGGATCTCTCCTAAAGTGTCAGATTGTCCCAAAATATGAAGGAGCATAGTAAAGGACACTAGGCAGCTGAATTTTACTTGCCTTGGTTTGTATACTTGATTCTTAAAGGAAGCTATGAAATGTGTTGACATTTTAGTGAAGTCTGGTCTACTTTAGTGGAAGTGCTTCCTTGATTTACTCATTAATTTCTTTGCCAACAAAATGAAATGTTATTCCTCACTTTCTGTAAAATCTGCCTAATAGCAAAGCTTCTTTATGTTAGCTTTGTTACATCCTTGATTATTCAAGAAAAAAGTATCAAGTTATAAAAGAACTTATATATTCTTTACAATCATGTTACTTTCTACGTTTAAAAAAATGCTATTTTGATTAAATAGATAACTAAATATCATTTTCAGGCACCCATAATCATATGTTAATCAAATGTCCAAATCTCTTCTGGTAACTTTTTTATTTTTACCTTCTCAAAACCAAATCCAAATATAGAAACACATAAGGTAAAAAAAAGAATATTTCAGGATATCTTTTACATCAAAATCCATTTTGAGATTTCCCAGAGGGTCCCTGGAAAATTGCAAAGATTTGTTTTTTCACTTTATAAGAAGAGAGGTGCTAGAGATAATTAGCGTTTTTTTTTTTTTTTTTTTTTTTTTTGAGACGGAGTCTTACCCTGTTGCCCAGGCTGGAGTGCAGTGGCGCGATCTCGGCTCACTGCAAGCTCCGCCTCCTGGGTTCACGCCATTCTCCTGCCTCAGCCTCCTGAGTAGCTGGGACTACAGGCGCCCGCCACCGCGCCCGGCTAATTTTTTGTATTTTTAGTAGAGACGGGGTTTCACTAATTAGCGTTTTTGATATGTTACTATTATAAAGTTTCATGGAAAAAGTTGTCAAATCAGAAGAGACATTCAGTTAAATTTGGGTAGTTAAAATATTTTATTAACATAATGATTTCAGAAATTATATGGTTCTGGAAAGTCCCTGGAGATTTGTCAGTGCCCTTGCATTCTATGTTTTAACTTCAGAGGAAACGTTGAGCTAAACTCTGTGGATTTTTTCCATATTCACCAGAATCTTTGTGTTACTTTGCCTGATGATACTAAACAACAACTGTATGCTATTAGTCATAATTTCCATTAATATTTAAAATATGAACTTCATCACAGACTTAATTCTTTAATTTGAATTTAACATATTCTATGCCACTGATTTTCTTTTTTACTTTTTTTTTTTTTTTTTTTTTTTTGAGACGGAGTCTCGCTGTGTTGCCCAGGCTGGAGTGCAGTGGGGTGATCTTGGCTCACTGCAAGCTCTGCCTCCCAGGTTCAAGAGATTCCCCTACCTCAGCCTCCCTAGTAGCTGGGATTACAGCCTGGTGCCACCACACCCGGCTAATTTTTGTATTTTTAATAGAGATGGGGTTTCACCATGTTGGCCAGGCTGGTCTCAAACTCCTGACCTCAAGTGATCAGCCTCCCAAAGTGCTGGGATTACAGGAGTGAGTCACCGTGCCCGGCCTGATTTTCAACTGGGGATGCACCTCAAACTTACTTGTGGAGTTATTTAAAACTACAGACTTCTAGGACCTATGCCAAAATTACTGAATCTCTTTTTATTCTTGATGTTTTCTTAGTGTATGCTTGCTGTAATCTTAGTATATTATTATATTATGTCTCAGTTATTATATCTCAAGGTTTTTTCCTCTC